AAATTTATTAGAATAAAAAGCTTCCTAGGATTTGTGGCGTACTGAAGTGTACACGTTGGCACATGTGGCCAACAGTCCCTTCATTAGCAGAAACAGTCATTAAGTGGACAAAGTAGCAGAGAGGGAGTAACTGCCTTTCTGGGGCAACTCCCTTGTTCATCATAAACAAAAGCAAGAAAACTTCAATTACTTTTTCAACAGCTGAGGGGAAGTACAGAAATCCCTATTAGCTGGGAACTGATCAGGCTGGACTTATCAGTACTTCAAAACAGCAAAGAAAGCAAGCTAGTACTACAGTGGGGGACTCCCAAAGAGCAACCCTTCTTCCCCTATGGACATCTGGTAAGAACATTGTGAAGAAAAACCTCGTCCAAACAGCAAGAAAAGGTGCCATCATGAGGACCAATTCAAAAATTTTCCCAAATACAAAAGGTGCCATCATGAAGACCAATTCAAAAATTTTCCCAAATACAATCAGAAAAAGTAGCTTTTTAGGGGACACAAATATAGCGAAAGCCAAGACTCAAGGCAACGTTTCCTTAAACTAAAGGCCAGTACTTTGTCCATCTCTGCCATTCGCTCACAAGCACAAGCACTTCTCACCAAAACTTAACTGAGGGTACACATGATTTATCCATCCATAATGTGAGTGCTGCTGGAGCTACCCTTTTACCACCACTCAACCTGGACCACTAAACAAACAGGTTTTCCTGCTTTCCTAGTGAGAGATAATTCTGCAAGTGCCACAGTAAGAACAGAGCAGTTCATCATCACACAGATGGGTGCTAACTGCTTCTGCAGGCTCCAGCTTCTACCCAGTCTTAGGCCCACAGCTAGGAAGGACACTAACAAATTGAAAGGGAAAACAATCACTACTACAGATGAGAACAGATGAAGGAAAAAACGCTGCTTACCCTGACGAAAGAAGATGAGAAAACAGACAAAGTACAGAGATGAATCCTGAAGGAGATGACCCAAATTACAGCAGTTCATGGGGCAGTACCCTCGGAGGGTCACCCTCCAAGTACATAATTAGAGCCAGGCCTGAGAAAAAAAACACTAAGTTAATGCAGCCAAGGGGAGAAGAGGGAGTTTGGGAATTGGTGGACAGGACACAGAGGGTACATTTTCTTTCTTAATACAGAAGGAGCAATGACAGAAGAAGCAGACTCTCCTCACCCACAGCCAAGTCCTGACGAAAATCAAAAGAAGCCACTGCAGAGATCAACTCAGAAGATCACTGATGCTTTGGTAGAATGGTAAGGCCTGAACAGTGCAGACAGCTTCCAAGGAAAAGCAATTTTTCTTTAACAGGTAAAGAACAAAGGTGCACAAATAATGTGTAAACATTCAATCCCACACTTTGAATTCTGGCTACCCTTTGTGGGGCTGAATGTGCCAAATTAATGCTAACCTACATAGAATAATATTATTCCCATTATGCAGTGTATAAACGAAACAAAATACAGAAAATGGGTGGAAGATGAACAATAAAGGGATTAATATATAAATTGTTAAGATTTACTCTAAAAGATAATATTTTATTCTAAACCTACATATATAACAATGTATTTGAAACCTTTGTTCTTCATTTTTAACACCATGTTATACTGAAGAGCCTTGTATCTTAAGTTAGGCTGTGCTGTTGCATCAAAGTACACCTACAAGGAAGCAGCAGATGCAGGAGGGGGAAGAAAGTGTGTACCCTGAAGAGTTCAGAAACTATCTCCACTGAGGAGAAAAGAATGAAGGGGAGGGGGTGGAAACTTTAAAACACACAAATTGTGAAGAAGGACTGGGAACAGACTTTGCTTGTAAACCTGAACACTAACAGTTGCCCTTACACTTCACCATAGTTAATGAAGACTTCTGTAATTGCCTTAGTAATCAAAATGAGCATATCATTATATATGGGTATGTATATATCATGTGATGTACACACACACACACATATATAAACAAAGGTCTCTGAATAATAAATTATGCTATAATATATTCCAACACTTTAAACAAAAGTTAAATAATATTCTGTTTAAGAATACAAATTTAAATCCAGTGAGCCCTTAATATGACAGGCTCAGAAGCTGCTAGCAGAAAAACATTTGACGTTTATGAAGACATACAAGTTCCAGAGAAGAACAAGTTATATACAGTTCCTTATAGTTTTATAGTTAAAATGTAACTGTGTTGACAAAAAGAGAACAGGACCAGAAAGCACACACACTTACTGTGTCTGTGCTGTTCTTGGAAACTTGGCAGTGTGTTATTCCCAACAAGTAACATAAAGCACCTGCCTCTACAGAGCACCTTGCACCCGAAACTATGCTGAAGTTATCAAAGCCCTTACAATACACACGACAAGCACTATTTTCATGACTAACTCTGGTAAAGGCTACTTGCCCTTTCTACTTCCTTGCTCTTCCAACCTGAACTCTTCCAATCTGATGCACTGCCATGCAGTTCCTCAGCCTAAGGGTAAATTGTTGAAATAGGAACCCATCATGAAGCTAAAAAAACCAAAATCAGACTAAAAAACATGTTCAACCCTCAGAAAACAAAACACAGTGGCAACCTACTGCATACACTACAAAGCATCAGAAATTAAATTACGATAGCTCAAGCAACAGAGTATTACCAACAAGACATGGGCTGATTGACTAGAATTACAGAAAAGTTTCCAAAAGTTTTCACTAATAGCTGGATGGATCCTTTTTATCAAAAAGCAAAGCACTCTGAAGCAGCAGGTGGATGCTTAAGTCTACATATGTTTTAAATAAAGAAGGTCTCAATATATTTCCTTTCAATCAGGAAAGATGCCTGTAGCCATATTTATCGTGCATTTTGAACAGATCCTATACCACTGCTCGTCCCATGGAGAACAATACAATTCTTGCAGAAAGGAGAAATGTGTGACATGTATGTTTGAACATTTCAGCAGTCAGTGCTGTAATTAAGCCTGCTCCTTCATGAAAGATCATCAAAGAGTGCCAAGGAAAAAAAAATAAGCCTCAGGGGCATAGTCTTTCTTCTGTAGTCTTCCTTCACTGGAATCCCTCCCACATCAATCTGCAAAGAAACTGTACCCTACATTAGAGAAAAAGCAGTACTAAAGCCGAAGTCTGCTGCACTGGAAAGACAATCAGCATCTAGCTAGAGCTCCCTCACCACCTAGAACTTGCAATTATGTAAGACACACACCCCCATTTAAGGAGGGACTGATACTCACATAGTGCCTTCACTTTGCCATGAGTTTTTAAGGGACACTGCTGAAATATTCAGCCTGTACAATGCCTAAGCACAAGTCTCTAAACTCTGAAAATTACCAGTGGTTTTGACTAGCTTCTTCCTGCCATATGACAGCTCTCTGCAACCAGCCCTCCCACATGCAGTGGCTAGTCAGTCATGATCTTGTGTCATAATTCAGCTGGATCTCTGGTAGCAACTCTTCCGTACTTTGCAACTCCCACCTCCTTCACTGTGGTTCTCTGAAGCATGAATTGCCTACTCCTCTATACAAGAGCCTCCATTTTCAGTTTTCGTGCTCTGGACTGTCACAGTCCACCCAGATTAATTTTAGAGCTTTATTCAAATCTGTCCAAGCATTACCCTTCAACTGCATGTTGCTATTGCAACATGGCAGGGCTACTGGATGACCAGAAATAAAATTTATGTTAGGTTTTTGTACACTTTTACATAGTCAGACACACCATTTTCAGTTTAGATTGCATGGGCCCTGGTTGATTTTCCATTCTGTGGATTGTGTTCAAAATGTTGCGCAAATGCTGCACTACACAGTACTACCATATATGTTCAGAACAAAAGTCTAGCAAAAAACAAAACTCACTTCCTTTCAAATACTGACTGATAACTGAAGCTACTTCCCATTCGCTTTCTGGGCCTCTATTATGTTCCAAGTCACTAGGTAGAAGCAGTTTTCCTAAAAGCTGCAATTGTTTTGTCAACATGATGCCTTAACCCTGAACAAGTTTCGTAACTCATGTTGCCACCTGGCTTAAGAATGAAAAGGTCTACAGCACCAGTTCTAAGTGACGTTGTTTCAAATAATGACACATTTTGAAATCTAGTTCTTTATTTGTAATAAGTACTGTGTGAAAATACACAACAGAGAAACCTGGAAGCAAGGAGACTGCCAGCATCGCAGTAAGTACTGTATGGCCTTGCAGCTAATAAACAGGAATGACCTAGGGCTACATAAACTTTGGCCCCTTAAATCTCCAACATCAAAAAACACATAGGTTCACTTCATTTTATTACTCCATAAACAAGAAGGATGGTTACAATCAAGGTATGTTACAGGTCAAAGCAGAACATGAATATGGTATGCCACAGCTTTCATTCTGAAGCATTTTATTCCTTGACCACACTTTTGTGTACTGAACATATGCAGTTGTGATGTAAAGCCAGTCGTTTTGACCTCTGCAGTCAGAGACCTGGCTCAGTAAATTTCTAGCCACCATATTCTCATGCTTCATACAGGCTCTAAGCCTACCACATGATCCGACTCCTTCTTCTGTATTAACTGAAGCAATCACCTTACATTAGAAAAGAAGCAGCTGGGGAAGAAAATGTATTTAAACGTGCATGCAATGGGAAATGATACACTGTACTTGGGAAATGATACACTGTACTTAGTGCAAGGTAAAACTTCTCTGCTTTACAAAAGAAACCATGTGTGGGTGGGGGAAAGCAAAAACATCAAGAAGCAGTAATTTTTTTCTAAATTAAAATATTCATAGAGATTCTTAGGAGCACAAGTTGCAGTAAAGAGTTAAAAACCAAAACTGTACAACTCCACTAACATACCTGCTAGACTTTAAAAACTCTCTTAGTCTGTGGTATCTTACTATGAAAAACATTCTTACGGCAATTATTCAAGAGAAAAGAATTGTTAAAAACTGCTTCGTGCTCTTTTACAAATTGAGTATGGAAAAATTAACACATTTTTCAAGGCAATGTAATGTAAAAATTCAAATACTTACTGCGTAGGAGCCTATGAGGAATGCAGCATTTGCTTGTTTTTTCTGATCAAAGCCAGTATAATGAATTATTCTCTTCCTTATCAATGAAAATGACTGTATCAAAAAATGAACAATGTTATGATTTTGTGTTTTCCTCTTCATGCCTTCTTTTAGAAAATTAAAGGAATGCAAGGGTCTGTTCACCTACTTCCAGCCATCTGTATTCAGAGAACCAAGTATACTATAAGCTAGTCTCTCAAAAGCTTTACAAGACTTTTTTTGTTTGCATCTCTACCTAGATTGCTCCAGAATTTTCCAAGTATCCCACCTAAATAATTTTTGGTACATATTACAGCAATCTTTCTTTTTCTTCTTAAATGTATTTGATATTTCTGACTTCAAGCCCTATGTAACGGATAGATCACTAGCATGTTAAAGTCACAACAGTCTTGAAGACAAAATTTAGACTTGTTTTATTCTTAAAGAAAACCTGACTTTAGATAAATCAACTTGCAGTTGTTCCTAAGGATCAGAATCCCTGAAAAATAAATATAGGCTTAGATTAAAATATTTTAATAGTATTTTTAAAATTTATCATAAATATATTTTTTAAAATTTCACCTTGGCTTTCTCCAATTACCTTAGGAGGTGGAATGGTACTGCCAATAGAAAAGACGCTTGCATCTGTGATGAGAGCAAAAAACTATCCCCTAACTGGTCTTTGAAACAAAGTTTGATGTGTTTGTATACTTTGATCAAATGCTAAGCTATCATAAAATGTCACTATTTAAATAGTAGTGTTACTTGCTTAGATACTACTCATAACACTCAAGACAAACACCAGATCAGCAGCAGTAGTATGTTCTCAGCAATCCTAACATGCCCCTCCAGTATCACACCCAAGACTCTCAAAGGTATTACGATATAGACATGTGTTGCTTCAGAGCATCCTGTACTCAAAAACTAGAGAATCTAGTCACCAACAAAACTGTTCACAGTGCCACAGGGATAAAGCAAGTCTCAATTATGCAAACTAATACCACTGACAGACATCAAGGAAAGAATGAAAAAAAAAAAAAAAGAAAAAAAAAGTCTGTTAAACTGTAATGTCTTTTACACTTCCCAATTTTCACAGTTCAGTGGCAGTTTCAAGTTCTGAAGAGGCAAACTGTGATCCACATTAATGTTAATAAGCTTTTTTATCTGCCTGACAGGTTTTATACTCAAACATCTGTGAGAGGTCAACTAACTTGAAGTTGTTCATGTTAATTAATATAGGAACTCTCTGTTTTAAAAAACATTATTTTCTATCAAGAGCTCAATCCCAAAGATTGCTGAGCACCCCTCAGAGAAGATAATCTGCAACAGCAGCAAGGCACTCCCTGCAAGCACAATGCCATAAATGCTATCAAAGATCAAATGTTGCTTCTTATCAAAGAGATGTCAGCAGCAGAAGAGAAGCCTAAGTCAAACAAAACCAATCTCAAATAAAAAATGTGTTGCACTTCACCCTCAAGCTCACTCAATATGGGCAGATTTCCAAGAAGAATGAATTCCAGGAGGGGAGCTTTTCATTTAAAGAAGTCTGTACCCATTTAGCAACTGATCTTTTAGAAGCTTAAAATTAGTTACTGCCACAATGGTGCACCTTCTGGATCTTAAAAGTAAGTGGGTTTTCGCTCCTGATCCTCCCTAAATTCACCTTGATAAAATTTGGCATATATATTCAAAACTTTACTGGATTAGGAACCCAGGAATGCACCTGAACAAAACCAAACCAAGACACAAACTTTTCACCCATTTAGTTCTGTTCTTTAGAAAAGTCGAGAACTTTAAATAAAAACACCCAAGTATTACCTTTAATTTCTTATTTAGCTTACAGCAGTATCTGTAGACCATTGCCAGATTGAGTGGTCCAAAGTCTGCATAGAAGCTGGTAGGAGAAAGAGGAAAAATTGCAATGACCTCTGTAAATGCCCTTTTTTTTCTTACATCAGATGAACAAAGCAAGGAGTAATACATACGACATGTGCATCACTGTAAAAAAAGAATACCTTCTTGCAAGCATACTATTTTGTTGGAGGGAACAGTTTTGTCATGTTTAAATAGGGACTAAAGCTTTGTTTTCCACACACCACCACTCAAAACCAAACTGGAATACTTGAGGTTTGAAAAATTCTTCATACTGTATCACCCTGTGACACCAGTTTAGAAACTGTATTTTAAAAGCAGCCCCAAAACTTTATTTTAAAAGAAGGCAATTATATTGCTCAAGAAAAGTGAATGCTGAGAATAAAGATTGATTAGTACTTTCAAAAACAATAAGTACGCCCTTGGTCAAAAATATTTGAAGAATCAGCAGCATTCCGGATCACATACAGAGGCATACAGTGTTCACTACAGGGGAAATAATATATCCATTGTCAGCTCATAAAGGCTTGAGTTGATTTTGCCAGTTTCTCCTCTCATTCCAGAAAGTTCAGATATTACACTTAATACTTGAGCAACCAAAGACAACCCCTTCAGCTTGGCAGTCCAGTGTGCACTTCTGAATACATATTGTTGTATCATGTTCCTCTGTCTTCTAATAAGAATGGGTACAATAAAAGCTTCTGCTTTGAAAGGATTTTGAAGACATCCTGATGGGAAGCCAAGAAGCCATTCTAAGCATATAAATCATCATGGCAGGTAAGTCTGAGAGGACCAAACTCATGTAATTAGTTCTGTAATGGGAATGGTATGTTTCTCTTAGCTACATTCAAAAAACATAATGTCAATTAGGCTGGTTCCTCATCACTGTTGTTCTAATTTATTTCTGTAAAAAAATACGGGGGAAAAAAGTCCGTACTTACTTCTCATACACAAATTCATCATCTATGCAGAAATAATGGGTATTTGCAGCTCCACTCTTTGGTTTTTGGCAGAGAATTGCAAAATAAAGGCGATCTGAAATGCAAGAAAAATGTAACACTTTTACAAACATCATACTTTTCTGCTGAAAGTCTGAAGTACCACCTGTCAAAAGAATGGCTTAAAATGGTTTAAAATGCACCAAATCTTCTTTTAAGTATTACTGAACTAGGTATTATTAAGAAAAAGGTACACCAGGACTGAGGCTTTTTGCTCAGCAGTGTTCCCGTAATCCACAGCTCTTCAGTGTTCTTTCCCAAAGTGCTCCCAGGAAGGCTAGTTGTTTGACAACTTTAATACAGCAGGAGCCTGACTTGCACCCACACACACAGCAGAGACCCACCTCCTTTTGACGAGGGACCCCACCAGTTGCACTCCAAATACCAACACACACACAGCCCGCAGCTAAGCTACAAATCCCTCAGCACTTCAGAGCACCCAAGATAAACTAAACAGCAAAGCGTGCTTGTGCCAAGACAGGCATTTCCCACCTTCCTTTAAAACACTGATTTTGATGGTAGTGGCATGCAATTAAAGCTGCAGGTGACAGATGCTGGAGGGATGTGAGGGAGCAAACCACCAGCCCACTGATGCCTACAAGAGCACCACCTAGACATCCTCATCTGCATCCCTACCCCAGCTACCCCTTCAAAGCCTACCTGCACACAGGCAGGAGACACCTTGTACTTGCCCTGACTTTCTTTGAGCTGAGGGTAAAAAAACCGCCAGGGGTAGGTATTCACATAGGGATAAATTATTTTTATGGAGAGGGGAATGAACTTTAAACACCGACTGTGCCGCTGCTGTAAATTGCTGTGCTTGCGGTAATTGGTCAGTAAAAATTGAGGCCTTGCAGCACCACAGCAACACTTTTCTTCCTCCTGTGGCAAAAATACCATTACGAAATACTTGGATTACAATTCAAACCTAGAAGACTTCAGTTTTTGTAAAAAAGTTGCCTGGCACATATATATTACTTAAATATCAAACCACGCGACTTCCATATAAACATAAACACAAAGAGTAATTTGTGATAAGCTGTACCTCCTTTTCCAGAAAGCAGGGGAAGAAAAAAAAAATCACTTCATGCTTCAAAACAAAATCCGCCATGACTAGTACTTGCAAATCATTACTTGTATCTTGAAAATACACGGTAAAGTACGCCAAAACAGGGGTCCCCATGTCTGCATTTCAACACTCACATGGCCAGTGCTCTGCTATGTATGGCAGCATCTTCGGGAGGTACAGGCAGGCAGCACCATCAAAAAGTGTACATTTGCTAAATGCACATTTCAGTAGAACAGAAGCCTGATGTGAATGGTTTGGCTTAAACATTTACAGGCCAGGTACAACCAATGGGATGGTACAGTAATTCCTAAGGAAGTCAGGCACCTCCTTCCTTACTCTCAGCCAAACTTGCTTATCTGATTTCTAATAGTCCCATCCTGCAAGCACAGCAGCTGCAGTACTAGCTGGGAAGTGCTTTACCTGCTTAAGAACTTCTGTACCTCCCAGCATTTACCAAACCACCTCCTGAAAAAGAGCCAAAGGATAAAACTTAGAGTAACGCTGTGCATTTTTAAGATGTTACTAAACTGGTCCACAAAGAGAAATAAAGTGCACTTATACCACAACTGGATGCAAAATAATCTATGGGGAAAATGCTTCACAGCGAGGCACTTCTGGGAAAGTGTTTAGGCCAATACTTTGGGGGTGGAGGGAGCTCCTGTTTCCCACACCTCCCCTTCATCTGTCCCCACCATTGTGTTATTCCCTGTGCTGTGTCAACGTGGATTTGTGTGACTCGGAAACTGTAACAGGTATCCTAGCACAATATTAAAAAAATATACAAATAAAACAAAAAATCCCACCCCCCCAATACCAAAAAACACCCCAAACCCTAAAAAAACCCAAACAAACAAACCAAACCAACAACCAAACGAGAAACACAAAAAAAACCCCAACTTATTTCTCTCTGCCCTGAGAATCACAGCTAAGATTGCAGGGGAGAAGAGGACTGAGGGCAAAGGAGGAAGCAAAAAGGAGAACTGAGAGGATCTGGTATCTAGGGATTGTGTTTAAATTGGCATTGCTAGATTAAACACGTCACACTACAGCCCCAAGCTATAATTTCACACCGCTTCTAAACTGATTTAATGGCTAGCTGCCACCAGGTTCCTCACAACTAAAGTCTTCTCTGAGTTTGCTCACTGAACTGGCCTACTAGGGGTTAACAGTGGGAATATGCTGCCAGAATTCTTCCCTCCATGGCATCTGTCCTTTAGATACAGATTTACACTGAGCTCTGCCTGTATACAAATAACAGCAATATATACAAATATCAGCAATAAAGTCTGGGCAGAATCTCAGAATGGACACAACTGCATGGATGCAGTACTCAACTGACACACTACCTCCTTGCACACCAGCTTTGCACACCATAAACTTTACATCACTTCTGTAAGTGTAAAAAAGCACTGCACAAAAAGTAATCCAAAATCCTCAAATATAAAAGCAGGATCAAAATGAAAATCAATACATGTGCCCAGGCTGGAGACCTAAAATAATTTCACATTTTGCTCCTAAACAGGATTCCTTGGCACTCCCACTTCTACTGAAAAGCCTCATCAGTTTTTGCAAAATGTTCAACAAAAATAAGAATTCCTATCTTGAGTGAACAGTGTGTATATGGGCTTTCACACTGCTGTTGGCATTCAGTTTGCACTGGTATCTCTGGATCATGTTAGTTGTTGCTATTCTTGAAGCACCTGAAAGAAACTAGAATTTGATGAACTTACAGAACTACCTCACAATAAGTGTGTGTCAAACACCAATATCCTGACAAGCTGTCTGTTCCTGTGCACCACTAACAACTGCTCTCCATTACATAAACCGCAGGCTCCATCTTTTTAAGATTTTAGAAATGAGCTACACAGAGAAGTCCTTTCCCATAAGTGTTATTTACCCTTCCACTGGCTTACCAGTTCGATATGAGACAAATGCTGCATTACTCACCACGTCTGTTTTTACCTGGGTTTTTTTGCAAGCACATTCCCAGTTCTGTTTAGCCTAAAGGATTAATATGTTAGTATTTCTTTTTGTTTAGGGGTAACACATGCTGAGAAAGGAGAATTCCTTCACTAAGGATCTGATTGCAGGATGAGGGTTTATACATAAAATACACCACAGCACTGATGAACTGTTTTCACTAGGACTCCGCAAAGATTGGGACTGCAGGAGCAGGGCTTAAATTTTAGTATTTCTATGCTTCCTTTGCTAATTTTAGCTTTTTAGTATTTCACTGACACATTGTGTGCTTGAGCACTTCCAGATTCCTGCAAATTTCTGATAAATAGTCATCCTAAACCTATCAAACTACAGCAGACATTTCTAATCAACTCTGAGAGTAGGGCTCACTGCCTTACAGGCTGTATCTGCACTGCAATTACGAGATATGACTGCAGTATGTTAGATGTACTTCAGTTACACTTAATTTTGTTAGCCTCATATAACAAAACAGTTACAATACAGAAACACGGATGACACTGTAGGCAATTAATTTGAGTAAGCATCCAATGTACAGCAAAATGAGCCTGCATTATAGCATGTCTACACAAGCTATAATAATCATGTACTTATGCAACTGCAGTGTGCATACAGCAGGAGAAACATTTTGCTTGCTTTTCAGATCTACAGTGTTCTGTGAAAAACTGAGAGCTACCACTTCAAGATAATGTAATATGAATACAGAGATGACAAAACAATCTCCTTCACTTTACTCTGAATAAGCCTGATGCTCCTGGGTGTCTGCTGCACAGGCCCTTCAGTAATTCAAGAATTATGGCAGGACTTCATGATCCTAAAGGTCCTTTCCAACCTAAACAGTTCTATGATTCTAAGAGACAACTAGATACCAAAAGGCACTTGCTGGAGGACAAGTCTGCATGTGATCAGCAAAGATTATTTTATTAAAAGGTAAATTCTACACTTCTATTGTTAAACAGATACCTTAGATGAGAAATTCAGAGGAGACTGAGGGTACAACAAAAAACAATGTAAGTCTGTTTTGAATTATGAAGAATGTAGCCAGAGAGATATTTACTATTGTAAAAAGAGTGTACTTCTAAATTCAGAGTTGGTACATGGTATTATTTTGTGTTTGATTTAAAACACTGCAAAATATCACAAAGACACATGAGAAAACATGAAAGACAAATTCTGCTGCAATGTCAAGACAAAAAGCAAAATTTTTTTTTATTCATTCTACCCTTTAAAAGGCACTTGCACTCATCACTATGGTATTTCAAATTTAAGTGATGATAGAGTTGGCAATTAGAACAACAGCCTGCCCTCTGAAAAAGAAAATGAAAGCACACTAAAAAGCTAAAGAAACTTCTTATTTAACAGAAAAACATGAAAAAAACATTTTCAGGGTCATATAATGACGGATCAGCAACACTCTTGTCATTTTACTCAAGTAGAGAACTTGCACTCTGCTGCTGCCATCTGATACAAAGGATTACTTTATGTATGTTCATGCACTTTCAGTACTCGATTATATGCTGAAAGCTTTAAACTTGTATTTAAAATCTTAACTTTGAAAAATACTCACAAGTAAGAGAGATCACACTGATTAAACAGTAAATGCAGTGTTTGTACTGAGAGTTGTGTAATGAAAACTAATTGAAAGTGTTGATAGTCAGAATGTTGGAAAGCTTGATGATACTCAGTAGAAGTGTCCTTAGCATTCAGAAAATAGTTTTCTACATAATACACAAAGTTTCTAATGACAAGCCAGCAGCACTGGAAAAAAAGAGACAACTCAATGGCTTGGAAAAAAACCCCCGAAACAACACCGCCACAAAAGCAAAAAAAACCCCAACAAAACAACAAAACCAAACACCAAACCCACCAATCAATGAATGTATTAAACTGAAAGCTATTTTATAAAAACTCCAAGTGGCACTGTAAGTAAAACAATTACAATGCAAAAAAAGGCATACAGCATCTTTTAAGGTACTAGTTCCTCAATGTAAACAAACTATATATATATATATATGTATATGTATACATATCAGGAGAACAAACAAATGTCAAGAAATGTCCCATGGTGTTATATCACTTAAAATTTAATTCCATGTATAGTTATTGTAGTTGCTTAAGTTTAGAATTAACTACTGAAAAGGGATAAGAGAGAAACACACACCTTTTGCATGAGGTTTATGCACCATAATTCTTTATCTTCTTTAAAACTTTATAAAATCAGAGCAATGTCAAAGAGAAGCAGTCAAGGAAAAGAAACCAACAGCTTTAAAGCATCACACAGAGAATTGTTACAGTTTCTTTAGATCATATAAATTACTTCTTTCAGAGATCAGAAGGATATGGGAATATGCTTCTAATGAACAGAAGAAATGCATTCAGTTCCAGCAAATTGAATTCATACCAGCAAGCCTCACGCATTAGTTGACAAAGAGAAAATGTTAAAGCTTACCACACAGCTTAACAGACAAAAATGAGCAAGTTCTTACAAGAATAATTTTCCTGAGCAAAAATATGACATGATTCTGATTAAAAATTATCCTGACATATGACTATTCATATAATTTATTGGGAAATAAAGAAATGCAATAACTACTGTAGGTGTTTTGAGGATGAAATCTATGCAAGTAATGGATTAAAAATTTTGCTGTTTATGAACGTAATATCACACAAGAAAAGATCCATAAATCTCTACAGCTATTTGGCTTTGTTTTCTGCCTCTTCTAGGAAGGAAAATGAAGGTAGCCTGCAATGTTCTTAATGAATTTGGCACTATTTCTGTACATAGATAAGCTAACACAGATCTCTCAGCCTTTACAGAGGCCAAAATATTTACCAGTGTGTCCATTTGCAAGAACAAGGCTTTATGCTTTAATCTATCTCCAGTCCAGAACTATTAATTAATTTCTCAGAACTGCATTATGAAAAGGCAGAACTGACAGTTCAAAACTTGAAATAACTTTTAAAACAGCTGAGTAAGACTGTGAGCTTATTCATTTTAAAAATACATGTGGCATAACAGTGCAATAAAAAATTAGACTAGAATATTTCCATTATTAGAAGCTTGTAAAAAGTAGCCACTCTGTGCAGTAAGATCAAGACAAGATTAAGTATTATTAAATATAACAATTACTGCATTTAATCAAGTCTGTTATACTATGTGCTGCTGCACATGTTGAAATCCCACTGAAGTTAAAAAAATGTCAATGCCTAGGTGCTCTACTGTATTAATTGGGTGAACACTTATTTGGAGGAGAAAATACAGCCATTTAAGGGCCTGCTGATGCTAGACGTGCATTATCAGATCCAAGCAATTGCTGCACAAACATAGTTAGAGAGACCTGTTTGCTGGAGACCCTAGATGGACAGGGCTACATGGTATTCTAGGTACTGAAACTTTGACATCAGAGTGTCATCACTTGACAAATGAGGTTTTACCTTTAAACTGTACCACCATAATTTCCCTTATAAATGGTTGCAGTTACAGAAAAAATACACACATGGAGTTACTGCAGCATTAGGGTTCTGAATGCAAGTACACCACTATGCTTTTCTGTGTAGAGCAGGCCTAAAATGCTGTATTTTAAGCTGGAGTTTTTAGGATTTTGCTCCTTCACAGCCTGAGAGCTTTTTAAAAAGAGGAATCTGGTATGCTTTGGGAGTTTGCACTCTTGATAGCATTGCTATACCCAGTTTTCAAAACAAAATCTGACAGTTTTCAAAACATCCTGTTATCTAGGAGACACATTAATTTAAGGAATGCTGTTTCTTGGCACAGGTAAGACTTGTGCCTTTAGACCATGTTTGCTCTTTGCATTTTTGCTTTATCTGTCCACAGACAATCTTCCACGTCCTTCACTGAGAAGTGGATTGTGAGGCTTATTTCTTAAATATCACCACTCTCAGATTCTGACACAGGACATGAAAAGTAATATTTTTTTTTTATTTAATTTTAAGCAAACTAAACTCGAGCATGTCTTTTAGCTGGGGAACTCAGAACATAAATCCAGAATCATTTCAGCTTCTCCACAGAGTCAGGTTTCTGTGCCAAAACAAAGCACTGCTCAAAGCAGCAGGCCACGAAAAGGACGGACGACACTGAGCAGACCTCCCTGAAGAAGCCGCTGGGATTCGAAGTGTCAAGAAGAGGCGAGATGCTTGTCCATTATTTTACCCGTTAGCCAGCGAGCGAACATCAGAAGAAACATATATATTCCCAATTTAGAGAAAAAGATGTTACTTTCCCCCAAGCACCCCGAAATATGTTTTACTGGTTCAAATGTATTTTCCCTTTACTCTTTCACAAGCAGAAAAAGACACCGCACAAGGCAATTGCTCGGTACAGCTAGAGTTACTGAAAAACCACGGCATTCCTTCCTCTAGAAGGCTGGCTGCACTACCGATGCATTTTTCAAGAACACTTCGCTGCATGGAACGCCAGAGAGACGCAAGAACTGACCCATCGCACAGATGGAGACGCGCCGGCCGAGCGCGCCGGGGTGCCCCGGACCAGCGCTTGGGGCAAGTTTTCCAACCCCGCGGCCGCGCTGCCTACCGGGGGCCACCGCCGGGGGCGGGACGGAGAGGGCCGAGACGAGACGGGACAAGACGGCTGTATTCGCCCCCCACCCCAGAGTCCCCTGCCCCGTCCCCGACTTGCGCCTCAACTCTCCCGCCGCACCGCCCTCGCCCGCTCCCCCCGCCACGCCCCCCTCACCGGCGATCCTCAGGCAGGTCTCCGGTGCGGCGGGGGGTGGCTGCCGCAGCTCCACCTCGCCCCCCACCGCCCGCGACACCGCTCCCCGAGTTCTCTTCAGAGCCGGCGGGGCCGGGGTTGCCCGGCGCCGAGCCTCGGACCAGCTCTTCCGCTTCATGGCTGAGGCGGCCGCGCCGCTATGGTGGGTGCGAGGCTGCCCTCCTCATCCCCGCCGCACCGCTCCCCGCGGGACTCGGGCCGCCGAAGGGGAGGGACCCCGCGACGGCGGCAACGGCTGATGCGCCTCCCCGGACACCGCCCCCTCCCACCGCCCCATGCACCTACGGCCCACCCCGCCCCGAGCCAGCGGCAGCTCCCGGGCCTCCTTTCCTACCCCCTGCCCGCCCCCCCATTCCCCTGCCTCTGATTGGGTCAGCGCGGTGTGGCGTCACCAGAGCGGAGCGGTGGGGACGGTGATGTCATAGTGGCTGCTGTAACAGGTGGGGTGGGGGGCGCGCTGCCGTGAGGAGCTGCTGGCGTGGCGAGGGGCGACGGCGGCGGGACCCGGAGGAGGGGGAGCCGCGCCCCAGGACCGGCCGGCAGCGCCTCTGCGCCGGGTGCAGCCGCCCCCTTTGGAACAGGGGGTGTTCGGTTGCGCGTCTTGAGGCGTCGCGGCCTTTCAGGTGCCTGTCGCGACACGTGACAAACAAGGGTCCCACGGGGACATGACCTCGACTAAGGCCAGCTGAAACCGGCCCCGTGGGTTCAGCTGTGTTCTAGTCTAGTCATGGAATGGATTTATATGGCAAGTTGAACCAACCGAGCTTGAGCCTGCTTCTCAGGTGCAATGATTCCTTAAAACGTTTAAGTAGATGTTGGGATAAATCAAGCTTTTAGTTAAAACAACTTCGGAAGAGTGCTTCCTCCCCACCTCTGACTAATTGGCCATGACAAAAGCCTCTGCTGAAGTATCCTGCCATCAGTATGAAGTCAGTGTTATTCTCCCACTATTTTCCACTTTGCGCTTCATAGCTAACTTTTCTAAATGACACCAGAGACCTAAAATTCTGCTGATGCTTTGAAACACATTTCTCCCATGGATGAAGGGGGCCATGGCTCCTGTTTGCTGTGCATGTGGGTATCATTTTATCACAGGGCACCGGTGAACTTTGTAGAGCTGTGGCCCAAATTAGGATTGCTCTTTTGCAGGATCCTCCTCTGTGCCTTCTTCCCTTGTTTTGTTTGTCTGCACTTTGTGAATATTTCTGAAGAAGTGATTTTGATGGGGTAACACAGAGATTGTGGTATGATTCCTGTCAGTATTGAAGCAGTGAGGGCGGATGACTTCAGACTACAGAGCTGTCAAACTACAACTTCATTAATTCCAATCCTTTTTAAAAGTCCACAGTTCTTTTAGCTCTAGTTAGTTGTATTTAACATATGAGCGGCAACAGAACTTTTGCCACTGCATATTAATTCTACTGGAAGCAAAACAAGCAGAAAAACATGTAGCCAAACATTTTGTTTAAAATCAAAAGCTCCGAGAATATGCAAGTGAAATGGTTGCAGAACAAACCAGTCTGCTTGGCAGTGATGATCAGGTGAGTGAAGCAGGGTGGAAACGCTACGAATAAACTGAGTAGCATTCTTTCTCTGTGAAAAGAATTTACATTTTCTGCGTGTCTTTGTTTTACAAACATAACACCAGTTTTCTAGCTTGCTTTCTGCTGTGGTTTACGTAGCACAGAGGCAGCTGCGTTCCAGACTTTCAGACATGCTCAGTAGGTGTAGGGAGCGCTGGATTGAGAGGGCAGCTTCTTACTTATGAATGTGCAGGCAGCAGTTCACGGAAAATGGACTTTACTCTGTGGTCAGCCTCAGCTGCTGGTCCATTACACTGAGTTCTGAGGAAGCCTCCAGCCAGCCCTGACATCAAACCGGTTCAGTCTGCACAAGACTGTTTAGCCCTGTGGTGAGTGCTGATTAGTTACAGCAGAGAATTGAGCACATTAGCTTTACATTATCTTTCTTATAAACACACTGTATCAAAACATATATGTAATAAGATCCTAAGGTGTAGTACCTATAATGGCATTACACTGCCCAGTACCATCGTGTTTCTTAAGCAAGCCTTTTATTTTTTTGTCAAGAACACTGCATTTAATTTCACATGCTCTTAATGGTAGAGCTCTCCGGAGCTTGCTCTCGGCCTCCCAGTGACCTTAATGGTGCAGGGACAAACCTCTTCATACAACACAATTTTGCAGTTCGAGTTCCTGTTAAAGCTTAAAAGGGGAGAGAATTTGCAGGTAAGATACGTATGTTTAGTAGCATTTTAGTGAAGGCCAAGATCAGTAACTGCCGTGGAGGATATGCTCCTCCATATATTCTGGACAGTCTGTGTTAAATTACTGAAAAGAAGTGGCTCATCTGGCCAAAAAAAAGAGGGCACATCTACTTCAATGAAAACTAGATTCTGAACACAGACATTTCTAGAAAAATGAAATCTGACAGTACTGCAAGCCAAAATACTCACTGCCCAACTGTCCTTAGCTCAGTTGTCTAGGACAGAAATAGCCAAGGACATTTTTTCAGAGACCTCTTTCTCTGAGAGAAAGTACATACATACAAGGGAGAATACTCTGCTACAAGTCTTCACAGGAAAAGAAGTAATTACCTGTGGCCTACTCGAAACACAACGATCTGATGAGAAATATATTTAAGACACCTCTCCCTGGTTTTATGGACCCACCTTTTTGTATGACACGAATTGCAGACAATGGATGATTTATTTAAACTATTTATTTAAAACTATGGAATATATTTCATAATGTCTGCCAGTGCCAGATGCAAAGGCATAAGCTTAAGTGACAGTGTTTGAAACCATGATTTTTCAAGGTATACTTTAATACACAAGTGTCACTCGGTGATGGAAGCTTTAAAACACTGGTGAGAAGTACTGGGTTGAAAGCCAGTGTGATCTGCTGAAGTGAGAATCCCAAGTTCTTCCTGAGCAAAACCAGTTTTTTTAGTTTAATGCATCTTGAACAAAGATTTTAAAAAATACAGTAGCAAGATTAAGGAAATAATAAGCTACGGGATTTTATTTTTTCCAATAAGCCTCAATTATCTTTTTGGTTTTATCTTACATGCAATGGAAATAGCACTTTTGTGTCCATCCTCACTGTCAGGTACTTTATTCTGTGCTCTGATTTTCTAGATAAGGTTACAGATGACCCATAAAGACACAATAGTACTGATGCTGGTGGAACATCACCAGGAAATCATTCTTGTAGTGTACAAATAAATAAATATGTCAGTATCATATGTCAATAATCTGGGGTTGGTTTGTGAAATTTACTGTTTTAACTCCTGCCAGCTGCAAAACTGTGTTAATGGGAACATGATCCAGCCTGTTTTTATCAAGGTGCACAAAATGAACTTCATTGCCTGGAATGGAATGAGAATAACATGTAAATAGTTGAATAAAATATTTATTCAAAGGTGTAAGTGACTCAAAGAAGCATTCTGATTTCCTACTAGTTCTTAAACAAATGTGTGCTAGCTCTGTACATGGCACAGTATACTGTATGGTAAACAATGACAAAGGTTAGGGATTTTTTTAATGAGGTTATAGAAACAAGGAACATTGAAGCATCTAACTGAATTAAATCTGCTGTAGCACGATGTTTCCTAACGATGTGATGAGATGACTTTGTCATGTTGCAGCCCCCCACCTCATTCATGCATTATTCCTCTACTAAAACACACAAATGGCTAGAATCAAATGTGAAAGCTAATGTAGGTGAACACCACAATGTCAAAAAAAACCTCAAAACTTCAAGACAGTTGTTCCACCAGCACTCCTATCAATTCCTGCAGGACTGTGATCAGCTTTATGCCATCTCTGTGGGAGGTGGGACTACACCATAACACTTCCACAGGTTCCTTCGGCCAACAAACCACACAGTTCAGATATCCTTGGGATCCACAGGGACAGCGGCTGAGATGCTGGGATTAAAGTGAACAGCTGGAGAAGAATACTGTAAGTTTCACACAAAACAAAGCAGCTTACCTGGGCCTAAAATCAAAGCTCCTCCCTGCTGAGCGGGGTCCCCTTGAAAATCAAAAGCTGGGCCAGTCATTGCTCTCCACATACTCCTAATGCTTCCCAGGAGTGTATTTGATTTAACATGAGGGCTCCGCACTGAATAAAAAGGCAAAATATTTTTTATCTAAAATTCATAAGTACGTAAGGAGGACAACAAAAACTGAACAGCTGCTACAAATAGTTCAGAGTTTTCTGATCAACAGCACTTTGAAAAAATACAGCCTACAGGAGGCAGGATGGAGGGCAACTCCCTTCCTATTTACATTGTGATTATATCATTTTATCAGAGCATACTGGTCTTGCTCTGTGTAAGTCAAACAACGGGAGAAAATTATTCTTACCTGATATGTTATTACCTTCACCTCTTTTCATGCCAAGAGTTTTATAAATTTCCCTTTGTGGATCTACATACATTTCATGTGTATACCCAGTTAAATTGCAAAAGGGCTGCAAAATACATACATAAAAGTTATTTTTTTAAGGTTAAGATAGTAACTAGTTATGATCTACTGACAATGGAAAAATACTGACACCCCACCATTCTCCCACCTCCCTTCCCCTCCCCACCCCTGATTTGGAAACCTGTAAATTTGTCCTGTTAAAGTAAAGGCAAAAAAAAGTTTTATCCCTAAAGCTTTTACTAAAACAAAACTTCCAGTGAAATCAAGAAAATGTTTCTTTTGCAAGCCCCAGCTTTTTTTTAAACAGAAAATTTTTGCTCTTTGCTTTTGGCATGTACTACCTTTAGAATTGCTTCATGAAAAAGAACACCGTCTTCTTTTTCTCCTGTGGTTGCAAATCTTTTCACTGAGAGCAAAATTCCCTAAATGCAAACCATTAAGACACAATAGAGGATAAAAGATACTGAATATTTACCTTGATGTGATGGTAAGATGACTGTCCTATAACTATAAGCTTCACATTTGCCTCCTAGAACAAAACATTGGCATTGAAACTGTAAAGAGGAACTTGGTGTTTCTGCATGGGTATAAAGCATTAACAGAATATGGCATCCTCAGTTAATGATCACTGAGTTAAAATTGCTTGAAACTAACATCACTTACATGTTTGGAGCTTGCACTTTTGCCTGTCACCCACAGTCAGCAGCTACATTAATTAAAAATATATTTTTTAACATAACTTTTAAGTTGCTGATGTGTGAACTTTTAAGTTTTCTGTGGCATTAGTAGGGGCAGCTTTTCAACTGATTACAACCTGCAAAGATTTTGGAAATTCAGAATTTCCACT